CAGTACAGGGAGTTTCGTTATGACATTTCCATGTAAGTATGTATTATATCCTGAATTTATTCATCCCCTTCATTTTTCTCCTTTCTCCCTTAGTCCCCTTCTTATGATGATTTCAACAGGTTTAAACATGCTATATTCATTCTTTTATAGGCAGTATATCAACATATTCACCTTCTTTACTTCTTTCTTTTACCCTATCCCTCCCATTAGTGACCTTACCTTAGAGTGACCTGCTTTTCATTCCCGTCCTTCATTGTTTAGGTGTTTGTTCATTATTCAATGGGATTTTTGTCCTGCTATTACACCTGTACATGCATTGTGCTTTAGTCAATGTAGCTCCCATCCACCACTCTTCCTTGCCCTTTCCCCCCATCCTGTGTTCGTTTAATGGTTCTCAGTGTGTTTCCTTGTATCTTGTTCCCACAGATGTGATGCATTTTGTTCTTATTCACTTGATACCTTTCTTTCCTTCTTTTCCTCCTCCTTTGGCTCCTCTACCAGTCCCAGTTTGGGGTACAAGTTCTGTACATATTTGTATGTATATACAATATTGTTTGTATTTGTATAGTGTCTATATTCCACATATAAGAGAAAACATGTGGTCTTTGGCTTTGTGAACGTGGCTAGCCTTACTTAATGATGATGTTCTCCAATTCTTTTCGTTTACCTGCAAATGACAAAAGTTCATTCTTCTTTATGGATGAATAAAATTCCATTGTATATAACCACCACATTTTCATGATCTATTCATCAGCTGTGGGGCATCTTGGGCTGTGTCCATAGCTTGGCCATTGTGAATAATGCTGCATTAAACACTGGTGTAAAAGTGTCTTTATTGTAACCACATTTACAGTTTTTTGGGTGTCTGCCTAGAAGTTCTATTGCTGGATTATATGGCAGTTTTATTTTTAGTTTTTTTGAGGAGGCCCCAAAATGTTTTTCACAGTGCTTATACATTCCCACCAACAGTGTACGAGGGTCCTTTTTCTCCACATCCTTGCCAACATTTGTTGTGTTCTTTTTTTTCTTTTTTGGTGGCACATTTGCCATCAGGTGCTCTAGCACTTGATCCACTCTACCAGCCATGTTTGTGTTTGATGATAGCCATTGTAACAGGAGTGAGGTGGAATCTTAATGTGGTTTCGATTTGCATTTCCTTTATGACCAGGGGTGTTGAGCATTTCTCATGTGTTTTTCGGCCATTTGGACATCTTCTTTTGAAAAAGCTCTGTTTAGTTCATTTGCCCATTTCTTCATTGGGTCATTGATTTTTTGGGGGCGGAGTTTAGTTTTATGAGTTCCCTGCATATTCTTGTCATTAATCCCTTGTCAGAGGTATAGCTGCCTCTTCAATCTGGTGACCATTTCTCTTGTTGTGTTTTTTAATTTCATGTAGTCTCATTTGTCTATCCTTTCTCTTAGTTGCTGACACATTGAAGTTCTATTTAGGAAGTTATTTCTTATGCCTATAAGTTCCAGTGTTTATCCTAGTCTTTCCTGAATTGGCCTCAAAGCTTCAGGCTTTATAGTAAAGTCCTTATTCCACTTTGAGTTGATATTTGTACAGGATGAAAGAAATGGATGCAGTTGCAGTTTTCTGCATGTAGATATCCAGTTTTCCCAGCAACATTGTTGAAGAAGCTGGCTTTTCTTCATTATTTGTTTTGGGTGGTTTTATTAAAAAATCAGGTGGGCAAATCTGCATAGATTCATATCTGGGTTTTCTATTCTGTTTCATTGCTCTTCATGTCTGTTTTTGTGCTAGTACCATGCTGCTTTTATTGCTATGGCTCTGTAGTATAGTTTTAAGTTGAGTATTGTGATACCTTCAATGCTCAGTTGCTTTTTTTTGCTCACTATTGCCTTGGGTACTTAGTCTTTTGTGCTTCCATAGGAACTTTAGGGTTGATTTTTTAATTTCCGTGATGTACATCATTGGAGTTTTGATGGGGATTTCAGTGGACATGTAGATTGCTTCTGATAATATAATGGTTTATCTTTCTTAAAATAGAAAGTGTGTATTATCTTAAAAAGTCAATTAGTGGTTCTCACTGTATAATTCAAGCTGTGATTTGATCCTGAATTACTTGTTTGAGATCTGCTCCACATTAGGGATTTATACTCCCTCTGGGAGGCCTGCTCCAGTGGTTTTTTTTTTTTTATTGTGAAATTGACATATGAAGACATGAAAAGATATAAATTAGTTATAGGAATTTACCATATATCCACCTCCCATTAATTAAATTCTCAAAAAATCTTTAGTTATTACCCATGCTGCTTTCAGTCTTCTGTTGAAGGTGTCAGATTCTATAACCTGACTTCTAATTGTATGCTCATGTTGGGGGATGAGTCAGACAGGGAAAGCCCAAGTAGGCAGGGGGTTTTCCTGGTCATCTGCTCTAGAAACTAGATGGGGATTCTGGGTCCTTTTCACAACTTTTTCTCTTGAAGGCAGCAATCAGTAGGCATGCCCTAAACAACAGGCTTTTTTTTTTTTTCAGATATATATTCATTCATATCCAGACCAGAAATGACTTTTTTAAACAAAGCAAAGCAGTGACCTTTTGGCATATCTTAGTGTATCAGATTTTAGACAAGAAAAAAGTCACAATCAAAATGTTTCAACTGAAAAGAATGTAATGAAAGGACTAGTTACTGAGGTTTTGGCAAGGTTAAGGGAACTATCTACAGTGGGAAGCCGTTATCCCCCTAGTCCTAAGGGGCAATAGAAGGAAATGTCATCTTTAGAAACCCTGGAGAGGCAGGCCAGGTGGCTTCCACCTGCAATCCCAGCTATTCAGAAGACAGAGATCAGGGGGATCTCAACTTGAGGGTAAAAAGTAAGGAAGAGATCCTCCCCCAGATAAACAAAAAAATCTGAGTGGTAGTGTGTACCTGTAATCCAAGCTATGCAGGAAACATAAGTAGGAGGATGGAGATCTAGGCTGGCCTAGGCAAAAAATAAGACCTTATCTCAAAAATAACCAGAGCTAAAAGGGTTGGGGGCATGGCTCAAGAGCACCTGCCTAGCAAGCGCAAGTCCCTAAGTCCAACTCCCAGAACTGCAGAAAACAAAATATAAAGTTTTGCTATGGAAGAGGCCTAGGGACAGGCATTAGTCACAGAATGACACAACCATGGCCATATTTGAGTTTAGCATAGGGGAAGAAGAATGTAATACATGCACTGATATTTCTCTCCTGCCTTGTGACCTTGTGACCTTCTGCCAGTATTTCTCATTGTATAAACTCAACAGGAAGCCAGAAGGCAAGGGGGCCTGATGACTTATCTAATGATGTCTGCCTCCCAAGGCAGAGCTTGGTAGAGAAGTGAAAACAATAGATTTAGGGAGGAAACAGAAAGTACTGCCGCTATAAATAAGCTCTATAACCAAAGGAGGTTAAAAATAGGTCAATAGTTAGCAGGACCATTAAAAAAAACCCACAAACTCACTTTTCTCATATTACCTCCTTCTTATTCACAGGTTTAACTTACTGAACTTTCTTTCTGCCTAGCACAGTTTGGAGCAAACTTTCCCAGTAAAGGGGCTGATAGAATTATAGAATTTGGGCTTATGAGGCAAAATTGAAAATATGTCATATCTATGTAGCCATTTAAAATAAAATAATTTAAACGTACACAAAATAGTAATTCAAATTCAGTAGGCTGGATTTGGTGTGTGGACTGTAGGTAGCCATCCTCTGGCCTAGAAAGTCTTGTAAATTCTCGATAGTTTACAACTTGCCTATTTTGTCAAATTAAAATGAAACTTTTTTCTTTTGGTCTTTGGAAAGACCATTATTCATCTCCGTTTCTCATGCCTTTGCTTCTGTGGTCAGTTTGGCTCCATTGTCTACTAGTGAGGGCAGTTCCTATCCTCAGGAAATGGAACACTTAATATATCTCTTTTTTGTATAATAAGCCCAATGGGACAGTCTGCTTGACCTGTCTTGATTACACACTCACTCTTTGATAAACATGGGTGGGTGAGGGGCTGGTGAGATTGGTGGTGCTGAGGCGCCACTATTGCACAAGTGTAGGATAAGAAAGCACACCCCTGAGGAGGGGGAAAAGGCACAGCTTCCGAACAGCAGGAATTTTTTTTGCCAGGAGATGAAACAGGAAAGGCCTATTTCAGGGAGATAGAAATGTTTTAATTGTAGTGATAAGTCTGACATATGTCATTATCACCTCCACTGCCTAACATTAAACTTGGTAGATATTCATGCGTTTTTGATGAATGACTCAATTCTCCCAGATGGTTGTGAACACTTTACTCTTTTCTCTAAACTGGCCACGAATTTTATCAGTTTGTTATTCTGTTGATTGTATTAGAGGTTTTCTATGCACATATATTATTTCCCTTCTAATCCTGGGTACAAAAAAAAAAAAAGCCTACCTGAGACATAGTGAGTGGTGAGGCACCCTGTGGAAATTCTAATCCCAGAACCAGAGCCCACAACACAACTGACAGCAATGATTATGGGTCAGGTGACCCATGTGGCCTTTAGGTTTAGGCCTTCAGGACAGAGCTCCACCTAAAGACGCAGCGGGGGCGGGCACGCGGCGGGCCCTAGCCTGGGGCGCGCCCAGGGCGCACAAAGGGGCGCGGGCGCGGGGCGGGGGGGAAGGCGGCGGCGGGGAGGGCTGTGGGCTGCCAGCTACTTGCGATTGCGGCTCCGGACCTGCAGCTCCCCTCCCCCGCCAGCCCGGCCCGCCAGCTCGCTCGCCTGCTTCCTTTCTGTCTCCTCTCTCCCTCCGTACCGGACCGCCCGGGTCCATTTCCGGAATCCGGCTATTTGCTAGTAATCCGGGCCGGGGTCGCGGAGCAGGTGGCCTTGGCGGGGCAGGTCTCCCGCCGCCTTTGTCGCCCGTCCTCGCCCCGCTTGGGCCCGCGCGCTCAGCTCGTTTGACTTTGCGCAGCGCCGGGCGCTCGTGTTACTGCGCTCCCGGCCCACGGCGGAGGCGGAGGCGGCGGCGGCGGCAGGGAGGGAGGGCGGCGAGCGGCAGGCGGGCAGGCAGGACCCCGGCCCAACATGGCTGAAATCAGTATCGACCAGTCCAAGCTGCCGGGAGTGAAAGAAGGTAGGGTCCTAGCGGGGGCGCGCCGCCCTCCTCCTTCCAGCCCGGCGCGGGGCGCGGGGTTGGCACCCGGGACCCCCCAGCCCGCGCCCGGCTTGTGCTGGCCGGGCCTGAACCCGGAGCGACCTGGATTGAGGCTCCACTGTGGGATCTTGGGCTAGACAGCCTTTAAACCTGGTTTTTCCTATGGGAGGAGATGGGGAAGAAGCGCACCACTCTCAGCAAGTGGTTGTACAAATGTAGCGAACGACCCAGAGCTGGATAATTGTGACTTTTTGTTGTTTTTAAAAAGCAAGGCCCAGCCTCGCAGGCTTGAACGCTGGAGAGTGGGGAGGGGTTGACATGCAGTTCCTTGTGGAGCCTTTGTTTTGAAACATGATTCGTTCCCTCCCTCTCCATACTCTTCCTAGCCCTGCGTCTGGCTGGCTGGCTGACTGACTTTCCTACCTTCCTTAAGGTTTGAAAGTTTAGGCTTGGCCTTGTCTTGAGTGGGCGGATGGGAAACCGCTAGAAGCATTTTCTTATAAAAACCAGTGAGCAAGGGCCCGATGATTTTGTTAATGGCTCTCCATACTGATGAACAGGAAAATGCAAAGTAAGATCGTCCTGGCTTAGCTGACTGCCAGTAGTCCTTTGAAACGTCCCTCGCCTTCAGCAGATGCCCCAGCACTTAGCAGTTTTTTTTTTTTTTAAATTTATTGTGTTGCATGCTGGATCACGCTAACCTTTAGGTTTTCTTTGGGTGTTCTTTGGTCCTAGGAAGCCCCCAAGTTACAGAGTACTAGTTCCAGACCAGAAGTTCCAGAGGCTCCATAAAGCTGTCTTTGCTGTGAATGTGATTTGTCTCACCTGAGTACAGTGTCCTGAACTGTCTTGAGAATGTGGAATTGAAAGTAGGAATTTTGCTTTCTTGGAACTGAATGATTCGTCGGATGGTCTTGCTCAAGCCAAAGAAGACATCCCAAGCCAAATTCATTGGCTGCTTTCTTTCTTAGAGTTCCAAACACCAGGAGACTAGTGACTAGTCTACATAAAATCTCCTTGATTTTATGTAGAATTTTTAATGGGGTTGGGTCTTTTCTACTGTTCCTGGAGTTATGAACACCCTCAGAGCCAAGATTTTAGCTTTAGCATTTTTCCACATTTCTGTTCTCAGCCTGCTATTCATGTGTTTACAGTTTTCACTAAGTACCAGGCCTGAGTGATAGGAAAGGCAGATCAATAGTTTGCTTTGGGAGTCTCGGTCCAGAGGTTGTCTGGTTATCCCTTGCTTTTGGATATGAGTTTGTGTGTGTGTTGGTTGTGTCGCTAAAGGAAAAGCGATCCTTTTGTGGTGCTATCTTGGGGGTGGGAGATGAGTAGAATGAAAATTGGAGTTCAAACAAAACCTGTTATATACACAGGTGCTGTGATTTTACCCCAGCTCTCTATCCATGTCAGTAACCTGGAAAAAAATGTTCCGTCTGAAAAAGCAATGTTTTTCCATTCCCATACATTCAGATTGTCTTTCATTTTGCATAAATGATATTTGGCAACTCATTTTACATAATCTGATTAAGGGATAAGGACATTTAGTGTGATTCTTTCATATGTCTTTAAGTTAAAATTGAGTATTGCTGGTTTTGAAGGAGATCAGAAATAGTTGAGATCACTGTTTTTGTAAGCATCTGACTTTATTTGGTTTCAAGATCATCAAAGAAAATGATGTTCTATATTAGGAATGTCCTAATGGTGAAGTTTTGGATCTGGGAAGTATTCAGGTCTCTTAATTTGTATCTTTCTCTAATAAAAGTTTTTAATTATGGTTCAGTGTCTTTATGCTAATAAAAGGAAATAAAGCTGGTACATGATGGGGGAAAACATGCACAAACACTGAGACTGCTGTAATAGTGAAACTCCAAGTTTGAGGAAGTTTAGTAGTAATTTGCTTAAAATTCTGGTGCAGATTTTTGATTTTTTTTTTTAAATCTGTTTCCTACACTTCTATTTAATTTGCATCTTTGTTATGCTTATATATAGTTACATATGGCATCATGGGTAGATTCCAGTGGAGATTGAGAAGAAGGATGGAGTGAATGTGTTCCTCATCCAGCTGCCTTTTCTTTAGGAGGGGTTGGGGCACTTTGACCTTTGTTGTGAACATCTCTAAAGAGGTCATGGGTAGCAGCTGACATCAGGGTCAAGGATTATTTGAAAATCTTTACTAGATTAAAATCTAGTGCTTGCCTTTTTAGTTTTTAAGGAGGTCAAAGATATTCATCATTTGAAAGGCCTTTTTAAAAACACAAACAACTATGGCAGTGTTTATACTTGGGAAATCTCTCTTAAACCAGGAGTCAGATAGACAGTTGAATTAAGTCAACTAAACGTCAACGTGCCATGGTTTCTTTCTGGTTAAAATGTATTTAGGATAATGCTTTATTTCTTCATAAGCCTTTGTGGCTCTGTACATCAAGGATTGAGATAATTTCCAGTTATTTCTTTGAATTGTTAGACCTGTAACTGAAGTGCAGTAAGCAGTGTGTGAATGTTAGGCAAAGGATGAGGCAGATTCCAACTGTATTCTGAGTGTTTTAGTTAGAATTTGGAGCTAAAACTGCATGTTTCTAAAATTGAGTACTTTTTTCAGTTGAGAAACTTAGATTTTTTTTTTTTTAGCCATGTTAGCTTCTTCACTGAATTTTCTTTTTAAAACAGCAATCAAGATTTTCCATTTTTCTTCTCACATGAGTTAGAGTCCCCTATTATTACTTAATTTGAATTGCCCATTTATAATTGCAATTTTACCATTTCCTCCATCTAATCAAGATTTTGGATTGTCACAGAGTTTGGTTTGAGAGTATTAGCTTGTCTATCAAAGCCATTCTAAATGCGTTTACATTTTATTATTTCTCTGAAATTACTTAAGTGTTAGTTTTTCCACTTTTAGCTACTTAACAATTTCATTTCAACCTTCCCATTTTCTTCCAGTATCAGCCTTCCTTTTTCTTTCCCTTCAGCAGTTCCCTCAAATATATATTTTTTCCTTATTACAGTACTGGGGTTTGAACTCAGGGCCTCACTCTTGCTAGGCAGGCACTCTAACACTTGAGCCACTCTGCCAGCCCAAATCTTGTTTTTTTGTGTTCTTATTGTTCAAGTGGAAAGCTTCATCACTGCCAAAGTTGGTGAACTCTGTGTGTGGGCAAGATGCCGGAACATCTATGCTCAGTGCACTTGGATTGAGGCACAGGTATTTTGCAAGTAAATCCTTACTCTTTGTTGAAAGATAAACTTCAATTCAGGTTTTGGAAATGTCTATCAAAGAAAACGTACCTAGAAAGCACTGATTTTCTTTGGATGTAGGGCAGCTGAGTGGAATAATGGGGTAAGTTAATCAATGGCATAAATCCAGAAAGGGGAAACATGCAACATTAAGTGTAAGTTAACCCATTAGCCCCAAGAGCTTAAACTTACTACCTGCACACTAGGCACCTGACGGGGTGGTAGGATTTGTAAGATATCCATTATGGGTGTTCTTTTTTTCTCAAAATGTGGTAGCAGTTTTTATTGGTGTTTTTAATGAGACCCTTGCTGGATCTCTTCCAGCTGTGTCTTGTCTTGCTTTACTCTTCTCTGGCTTCATGTATCCAGCAAATACTCAGTAAATATTTGAACATGTGAATGAGTGCATGATGTGTGGTTTGGAAATCCTACCACTAACATGATTATTTCATGTTCCTTCTCAGAGTGTCAGTTCTTAAAGAGCAGAGATGATACCTTTTAACTGCACCGGTAATGCCAGGATTAAATTTATAAAGTAAATTTATAAAGTAAAATTTATTTATAAAGTAAATTTTTCTCATGTTTATTTTGTATATGTATGTTTTGTAAGTAGAATTAATCCAATGTAGAAACTTTCAGCATAGAAAATTCAAAAGTAATTTCTTGCTTTTTATTCCTTGAATGTAGTGATTATTAGAACAGAATTCTAGTGAAAACAAGAATTTTTTTTCTCAGGTGGACAGTGTGGCAGCTGGATGGAATCTTAGATACAGGTTTTTTAAAAATAGTAATCATTACCCTCTGTGTGTCACACGTTGTGTGAAGGTAGTTCCATAATAAAAATGCCAGTGGTACACAGATATGTTCTCCACTGTAGTTTGAATACATGGAGTTGTTGTAAAGAACCTTCCAAATTTAAATTCATATGTGTACCAAAAATGCCTCTTGCCTAAGGGAAAAAAAACTGTCAGTTTATTACTATACATGAGCATGCAATATCTTCTTGAATGAATAAATGTATTTTTCCCAAATGTATATAAATGTTACTTTTAAAATATTTAAAACCGACAGATATTGAAAAGACAACTTCTAAGAGTTAATATTTTTTAAAAAAGGAATCCCAGAATGGAAAACATTGAAAACTACTGATCCAGGTCAATTTCCCCATTTTCCAGATGAAAATCTGGGTGTCAGAGACAGGAAGTGAGTTGTACTAAGTCCCTGAGGTGAAATTACTTGGGATTGGCACATTGGATCTAGAATTAGAACAGTTCGATCTTTCTTTCCCCGCCTTTCCTTTTTTGTCCTCCCTTTCTTCTTTTTCTTTTAAATTATTCTGTAGATATATAAGGTTAATTTCTGAAGTCTTCATTTAATATTATCAGGTTTAAATAGTACAACGAAAATGAATGAATGGCAAGACTTTTTTTCAAGGATTTTCTGAGCTGTTTTGGGGTGATGTTTCACGTGGATGCTCGAGTCATCCTAGGTTTTGTTTTTTAATTACGCATTATTTGAGCTTTAAATTTTTGATGGACTTGCAGGAGTGAAGTCACACTCCTGCTTCCATGTTTTTCTGGTTTAGTGTTTTTTTTCTACCGAAAACCCACACAAAAAAAGCATGTCCTGTCTGCTATATGCAGCCTTCAAGAATGGGCTAATGTTTAAGGACCTGAACTCTAAAACGAATTTTTAGGGAATGAACTCAAAGAAAACCATGGACCATGATCTGTTCTCAC